GAGGGATGGGAGAAACTGTAAAGACCTACCCCAAAAAAACTCAGAGCATGGGATCTGACTTCCAGGACAGAGAGAGATGTGAGACCAGATGTCTCAGGGGATGCTCGGAATTCTTCCCCGCACTGCCTGCACTCACCAGAGGCTTGGAAGGAGCTGGCAGCTTCCAAGGCTTCAACTCCTTCTTGTCTCTGGAAGAAATGAGCGGGATAAGGAAACCCTGATCTCTCACCTCACAATAAGTGTGTTTTAAATTTAAGCACACTGGAAGCTGTCGGGAGCCCTCCCTCCATCCTCCTCCTTCTGGCTCCTCCACCACTGCTCCATCCCTTCACCTCTGTTCTCCTTTGTCCCTCTCCTGCAGCCAGGCCGAGCGTGGGAAACGGACAACGTGGATATTGGGACCGTCTGTACAGCCTTCTTACTCCAATTAGCTCAATAATTAGAGCCTCATCAAGGATGCTGCTGCCTCCAAGGATGTCTCCAAAGTGAGAGCTGCTAACAAGGCTGTGAGGTCCCCAGCAGGAGCCCTGGAGATGGTGGGATGGGGTTAAAGCTGCCTCTTGTTCTCTTGGACAGAATGGTGGGTGCTGGTGTGCCAAATTCCCTGCAGTACCCAAGGGATTTTCCTTCATTCCATATTTGGGATGTGCTTCAGGTGTAGAAGAGGACCCCATCCATCTCCCATTCCCCTCCAAACAGTTCCTGGGCCAAAAAAAGGTGTCTCTGTTTGGGCGCTGTTGGATAATTTGGGGATTACTAGATAATTTGAGGAGTGGAGAGAGATTTTCTGGTCCCTAGGAGCAAACCTAAGGCCTTTTGGGAAGGATTAAAACCTGGGAAGATGAGGGGTTTGTAGCAGTGGGTGACCTTTAAATCCCACCTCTCCCTGTCACCAAGAGATCAGCTGAGTAGCTGATCTCTCCAGAACTTAGAGCATGACTTTATGGGAAAGCAAATCAAAGAGAAGAGGGGGAAAAAAGAGGGAAGAGGAACAAAAGCAGATGTTCCTGGACTGATCTGCCATGGGAAAAGGAGATGGACAGGTCTGTGAGCTGGGGACCACCCACCCTTCTCCATCACTTGGACTCCTGTCCAGCATCACTCTGGGTACTGCCTTCCTAAAGGGGGTTAAATTCCCCTGAGAGGCTTAACTGGCAAAAAGAAAAATTGGGGAGCACAAGCTGGAACAAGAACTGACCCTTTTTTGGGGTATGAGAGAAGTGATGTGGCTGGGGAGCAGCAATGAACTCTGCTGGAAATGCTGCCTGGAGAGGGGAACCTGGTGCCCATGCTCCCACCTGGAGCCCCCTCATCCCTGTGCCTGCTGGGGTGAATCCCAGGATGGGTGTCCCATCTTGGCTGTCAATTTGGGAGACCGTGGAGGCAGTGGCAGTCTGAAGCCAGCAGGTTTCCTGAGAGCTAAGAGGGAGGCACAGCCCAGCAAACCACAGATCGAAGATAGATGCTGAGGCTGAGAAGCCTCAAAAAGAAAATTGAAAACCACACGGCCAAAATTCGACTGAATCAGTCAAACTGTCACCTCACCAGGCTCACAGTAACCCCATGGGGATGCTGGGCATGATCCCTGACACTGGGTATCTGAGCTCTCCCAGGTGCTCACCAGCCAGGGAGGATGCTGATAGCTGGAGGGGCAAAAAAGGCAGGAATGGCTATGCCCTGGGTGAAAATTACCACCCACCTTCTCCCAAAAGCCACATTTCCACGTGCTTCTGTCTTTGAAAATTAATATAAAAATTAAAATAATAAAATAAAAATTAAATAATGGAGGATTTTGAGGCTGGTGCTGATGGTGCCAGCAGGTTTGATGCCTGAGCCACTCAGATGATTTGAGTAGCTGACGAAGAGATGAATCATGCAGGAAGTGGAGAGAAGGAAATTCATAGGAAAAAGAAGGAACAATAGCAGGTATTTGCTGAGAGAACAGACAGAAACTCCCCTCTCTGCACCAGAGAAATGTAAGAGTGAGAAAATGTTGAGATTTAGTTTTCAGAGTCCAGCTGGATGCCTGGCAGCAGGGATGTGGCCACACTGGGATGAGGAAAGGTCTTTCTAGAGTAAAGTTATGTAGATGTATGAGCCAACTTGAGCTTAAAGGCATTTTCTGCCATGTCAAGGGAATTGTGATTCTGTTCAGCGAGGTAAAAACTAACAGTGATAATTTTAATGCCCATAACTCCAAATAACAAGCTTTATTATCCACCCATTTGCTCGTCTTAGTGCATAAAAACTATCATATGTTAACACTAATATATAACATCTCATAATTAAATATAATAGCTATTCTCTAATTGCATTACCATTTGACCAAAGAAAATATTAACAACATCACCTGATCGATGAACTCCAGACAAAGCAGTGGTCTGTAAACACTGGAGCCAAGGGACAGGGAATTCAGCTCCAGCTCCTCCCAGATCCTTATTTTCTTTGCTGCTGCCACATAACTGCTATAAATTAAAGCTGTAATGGGAAAGTAATGCTTGTGAGGCCAAGGAGAGGAGAATTCAAACCCTGCCTTCTCAGCCTTTGTTCAATAAAGTATTAAAAAAGTGGAATTCTTTTTCAGTTAGAAATCTTTATTTCTCACTGCTGATGGGAGCTGAGCCTCTTCCACTGCTTCGCTCCAGGGTCTTGGGCAACCCAATCTCCCAGCATCTGTGTCACTGGGTTAATCATATTTACGTGTGTCCTAGTTAGGAC